ATTACTGGAAAAAAATCCCTCAATATTTCTTGAAAACAGAACACTCAGTATCTGCTGATTAGGCACTTGCAGGAGTTATAGTTATATTGTTGACTCCTTCAGAGTTCACATATACCCATATCTAACTATTTAGCTAAAAGGACAGCTCATAGTTCTAAGGAGCAATGGGCTCAAAGTGATGGAAGTAGGAGACAGTAATTTTCTCACTCTAAACAAATATATTAAGTACCATGTGGCAAATAGCTCTTTACCATTCAGTTTCCATAAGTGCCACTCCAAGTTCCATTCCCATATGCATTTTATTTTACTATCTGGGTCTTTGGTATAATCACAAAGCTTATATTTCCATATTGAGTATAACAAAGGCAGCACTGATAAAAACCACTATGTCCTACTTGTCCTTACATTGGATGTGTATTGCAAAGCCTGAAATGGCAACATCTCTTTCGAATGACACGCAAAGTAGATCATGAGTGGCATCCTTGGGTGCTTTGGTAACTGTGGTGCTCTGCTTAAGTTCATTTGGATAATTACACGGCTCTGATTTGAATTTAGCCCATTAGCTTCTGCTGTCAGGGTTCTTGTTGACTTCATCCTACCAGTCTTTGTACATTTTTCCCCTTCCAGCACTTGCTGAATTTCAATGGCAGTTGAAATACAAATTTCTCTTTGGGGAATCAAGCACACAGAGGACTGTGGCAGGGCAATTTATTATTTTAAAGTTGTGTCAAGCAGGATGAGCATGTATTTCTCTGAGAAATGTATAAAAAAATATGGTATTCTCATTACTTTTTTCACTTTACATTTTTGTAATTTACAGTACAGCTTTACCAGGATGCCTGCTTTCTATATTTTCATAGAATCATCAAGGTTGGAAGAAACCTCTAAGGTCATCAAGTCCAGCTGTTTACCTGTCACTCCACTGTAACCCCTAAAGCCTAAATCATGTCTTCCAGTGCCAGACCTGGACACCTCTTAAATCCTTCTAGGGATGGTGACTCCACCAATTCCCTGGACAATCTATTCCAATGCCTGACCACCCTAACACTAAACAATTTTTTCTAATATCTGATCTGGATCCCCTCTGTCTCAGCTCATGGCCATTCCCTCTAGTGCTCTCACTGCAGCCATGGCAGAAGAGACCATCCCCCACCTCTCTACAGTGCCCTTTCAGGTAGTTGTAGAGAGCCATGAGGTCACCCCGAGCCACCTCAAGGCTAAATTTTATGACATCATAGAATCATAGAAAGGTTTGGGTTGGAAGGGATGTTAAAGACCATCTAGTTCTAAGCCCCCTGCCATGGGGGCACCACCCACTAGACTGGCTTGGTCAAAGCCCCATACATTCTGGCCTTGAACACTGCCAGGGACGGGGCATCCCCAGCCTCTCTGGACAACCTGTTAAGTGCTTCACCACCCTCTCAGTAAAAGATTTCTAACACCTAATCTAAACCTACTCTCTTTCAGTTTAAAGCAATTCCCCCTTGTCCTATCACTACATGTCCTTGCCAAAAGTCCCTCACCAGTTATCTTGTAAGTGCCCTTTACATACTGGAAGGGCACAGTAAAGTGTTCCCTGAGCCTTCTCTTCTCCAGGTTGGACAACCCCAGCATCCCAACTCTCTCAGCCTGTCTCAATAGGAGAGGTGTTCCAGCCCTGTGATCACCTTGGTGGCCTCCTCTGGACCTGCTCTAACAGGTCCATGCCCTTCTTATGCTGAGGACCTCAGTAGCTGGATGCAGCACGCCAGGTGGTGTCCCACTAGAGCAGAGCTAGAGAGGCAGAATCACCTCCCCCGACTTGCTGGCCACACTGTTTGTGATGCAGCCCAGGATACACGCATCAAATATTTATTTTACACCGACCCCATTTTCAAAATACTGAGAAAGAATCTGATATTGGCTTGAGAACAGCCTGCTGTAAGGCCCCTCCCGCGATGTGCGCTCCCCCGGCAGCGTGTCACAGACGGCTGGGGCTGC